AGGAGTCTAAAAACTATTAATAGGTGTCTCAATGAAAGGTATGATTAAATGATCGTATCTTACATAATTCCGCAAGCTAAATATTTCACTTTTCAAGTGCTTGAAACACAAAAAGGCTAGATACATTTTCCAATTTAAAAAACAATATAGATTTTTTCACAAACGGCGAAGTCCATAATTATGATAATTATGTCTAAATAGTTTACAACCGTAATTCCATATAAGCATTCGTTATACGAACGATTACATGATTAAAATGTTCATCAGTCTGTCGCCAATATCATGTTTGGTTATTCAGATAATTCTTTTGTTCATAATCTGTCCTCTATTATGCGATAAAAGTTAGTAGAGTGGTTGCCGAACATAATGCGTTGGCACTTGAGATTCAAAATGGAAGCCGAATAGTGAGTCATATTTCATTTGGTTTTGGAATGGATACGGATTATGCTTGTGCCTTCTGGTTGTTGGAACATCGGATCATGGCTCGCAGCACCGGAGCGAAGTGTGGATGCTTGGCGGCGTAGATAAGAGGATTGATGCAGCCGTTCAGAAAGAGAAATATCAAGCCATACAGGTCGTAACGATTGTTCTCGGTAACCACAATGATTCCGATGGGAGTGAGGCAAATTAAGAAGGCCAGCACTACAACGAAGAGGTTCTTGGTGATTGCCAGCTGGTCGGTCTTGGTGCGAGTCAGCTGACGGGAGCTGTCAGGGCATGGCTGAGAGACGGCTGTGCTCTGTGTGTTAATACTGGAGTGAGTGTCGCCAATGTCTAATAATGAAGTAGAGGAAGGCCAAGACGGTTTACTACTTGCTGAGCGAAGTTTGAGGACATCTTGCCGGCGCTTCTTGAAGTGTCGACTAACGTGCCTCCAAATCAAGAGGTACGAAGCAATTACAACTACGAAGGGCAGGTAAAACAATGCAACCTGAATGTTGTTGTAATCTGTAGCTTGAGGATGCGTTTCGACATCGGTGCAGGTTCGACTCGAAGGATCGAAACCCAGAGCGCCGATACCAGACAATGGAGGTATGATGGCGGCACACAGAGGGACGAACCAGGACACCAAGACCATCATTGCAATCTTCTTGGGTGTGTACAGCCATTGGTAGGTCTCCTTAGGCCTGGTGATCAGGATGCACCGGTTTAAGGCGATGTTTGCAAGAGTATACACGCCACATCCCCCAGCGATGAATAAAAGAGCACCCGCCGCAACGCACGGGACGTCCCATTGCAGCGGGTAGCCCGGCGTTTTGGTCACCATACCCGGCATGCTCCACAGGAGAGCGAAACTCAACAGGAAATCAGACACGCTCAGGTTGACCACGAACACGTTGGTGACGTTCTGGAGTTTCTTGGTGCGGGCCACGGCAGCCAACACCAGGCTGTTACCAATGATTGCCAGGCCAATCAGAATAGAGAACACCACTGCACAGAAGACAAGCTCCGGGTAGGTGTATATGGACTCCACAACAAGAGGCTGTAGAGTTGCGTTCGGATGAAGAGTGAAGTTTGGGTGATGAGTTGAGTACGGACGAAGCGTTGAGTTCGGGTGAAAAGTTGTGTGCGGCTGAAAAGTCGCGTTCGTGGGAAACGCCATTGCTCCAGCGACTGATGTAGCTTTGTGAGACCTGGCGCCTGGTAAAAATCCTTAAATACCTCAACTTTGATTACTTTATCACGAGCTACGATCGACACCTGTCATAAATAATTTATTGCTTTTTAAACTAAAACAAAAACATCGTTTGACAATGCTTTCATTCTTAACTGATATGTACTTTATCAATCTAACCTTCAACTTTTTTTCAATCAATATAAAGCAACCTAGGGAATAGAACTTGTGCAAGTAGCTTCGTATTTTTTATATTTTTTTTAGATTATGCACCAGCTCCTTTTGGTAGCAGACCACAGAAAGAATTCCATTCTTCCAGAAAACAAGTGTTCCTCGATGTATAAGTCAAATTGTACAAGGGAAAAATCTGGATCAAGCGCTATGTATAATATTCCTCAGATGAAAAAGAAATGATGGCGTTTATAAGAAACGACAATGTTGAAGCTGGTGAATTCAACTCAAGCTAAACATTCATTCCGTACGTCTTTTACAAATACAGGAAAATTAAGGTAGATAACGTAAGTCTGAATAACATAAACATATGTAATTCAGATTACAAGAAACATCAAAGGGTTATTAAGGCCTTCAAAAACTTGCAAACAGTCCAACGTTGATCAGAGATAAGGACAGTTTCCCAAAACTAAGTAACAAAGGGGGAAATTGATATCAAAACAGCGACAAGGCGATGTACTTCAAGTAGTTCAGGACATGAAGCTGTTCTACATGCATGCAGCTGACGAGAGGGATCCTGACAGTTGTCCATTTTTACAAAATTCGGAAATATCAGGAAATGTTTTGATAACGCCGAGCTGAATTCATTTCAACGCGTCAACACCACCACCATGAATAAACTATCGGTCTTCTTGCTATTCAGTTGTTTCACTTTCAATTTATAAAATGTTTTTGATTTTCCACAAAATTTCACCTTTTCACAATATCCATGATAAAAAAACAACTTTCTGCGCAAATAAAAGTTGATGGTACCAGAATGTCGCTTAAACAGTCCTATTGCAATCTGTACCTAATTATTATTATTATAATTACTATTATTATTGTAGCAGTACGCCAGTAAGGAGGTCCGCTCAAATGATTAGATTTAAGGACGCCAAGGACAAATCAAGATCAAAAGAAACAAATCAAAGCCGGAGTCAAATTATGCTTTGTCTCATGAACTTGTTCACAAAAATCGATTACAATAGTTTAAATTAACACATGATCTCAATTTGAACTCACAAAAACAACTGATACAAAAAGTATTCATAAGATAATAGATTCAGTTTCGAGCTCTATAAATTGTGACACAGTTGCCAATGATAAAATATATTAAAACACAAAGATTGTATTTCTAAAGTTCCCAGATTCAAAGTGAGGTTCCTAAGATTCACCGGTTCTAATATTTTAATTAGGTTCCCCGTAGTTCCCCGAACGCCTGGCAAGTGTACGGCTGTGTTGTGAACTAGGCCTCCATATTGCACCTGACATGAAACAGTCGTATTGCAATTAATCAGCATGTGACACACGGTGATTAAAACTTTGAGATAACGAAGACTAATTCACCCCCAAATCACTCCTTTTGTCAACATGAAATAAACTAAAACCTAGCCCAGCGGTAGCAGAGAACTTGCATTATGACATTAGAATGTAAAGATAATACAAATTGTGCTCATTTAAAACTTAAATGTTGGTTCTCAAGCACAGGTTTTGTACACTGATACTCACACTTTGATGTGCAGGCAGAAAAGGGCTGATATTCGCGCGTTCACGGCACCGAGTGCGCGTTTATATACATTTTTCTGGGCTGTGTGCCAATTGTACGGTGCCTCGTAAAAGACGTCTCACTACATTTTTATTATTATTTATTCGGCCAACAAATGAACAAAAGTACAATGACCAAGCAAATATATATCATAACGTAAACAAAAACTGGAAATTGAAAAAGTATGACCAGACAAGACTGATGGGACTGAAGGATGGGAGAAGAAATGGGCCGGGGGGGGGGGGTGTACAGCTTAACAGGAGAGAGGGGATAGAGGAACAGAAAAAAAGGACATAAAACATTCAAAACCTGCCAGGGTAGGCAAAAGTGTACTTAAACACTGTAGCCCCAAGGCCTGCCTACTCTACTCATTCACAGAAACGTTATTAATACAAGGAGTCTAAAAACTATTGACTCGTGGAATATAGGTGTCTTAATGAAAGGTATGATTAAATGATCGTATCCCGAATAAAATTCCGCAAGCTTAATATGCAGTTTTAAAGTGCTTGAAACGCAAAAGGCTGGTTAAATTTTCCAATTTAAAAATACAATGTAGGTATTTTTTTTCATAAATGGCGATGTCCATATATACATAGGTCTAAATGACTAATTTTGGTTTTGTCATGTTTTTGTGTATTTTTTTTTAATTATTGTATGTATACATACTTTTACAATTTCATGTAATTTTGAGCATGACAATAAAGAAATCTAATCTAATCTAAAATGTTTGCATTATATATTCCATATTGACTCATTCGTTGTATTTACGATTGCGTGCTTAAAATGTTCAGCTTGAAGCAAATCTGTTCGGTGATTGATCTAATAATTCTTTTGTTGATAATCTGTGCTTCTGATAACAGTTGGTGGAGTATAACAGTTGCTGAACATAATGCATTGGCACTTGAGACTAAAAATGGAAGCCGAAAAGGAACTCATATTTCGTTTGGTTTTGGTGTGGATACGGTTCATGCTTGTGCCTGCTGGTCGTTGGAACATCGGCATCGGATCATGGCTCGCAGCACCGGAGCGAAGTGTGGGTGCTTGGCGGCTGAAATATAAGACGTTTTGATAACGCCCAGCTGCATTCACTTTAACGAGTCAAAATCAACGGCGTGAGTGAACGTCCATGGTAAAGAAAATATTTGGTGTGTGCAAAAAGAAAAGATAATTCTGTGCAAATGAAAGTTTTAAGGCAACGTCCGGTTGACGTTCCATAACATTTCTCTTGCAGTTTCCGCCTAATGAATCCTTCACTTAAAAGTGTTTAATTCAAGTAGTCTAAAAACTTTTTAGGGAGACGCGTGTCCCAATGAAAGGTATGATTAACTCATTGTATCCCGAATCAAATTCCGCAAGCTAAATATTGCACTTTTAAAGTGCTTAAAACGCAAAAGGCTGGTTACATTTTCCAATTTAAATATACAAAATTAGATTGTTTTTCAAAAAAGGGCAATGTCCATATACATAATTATGTCTAAATGTTTACACAGTATATTCCATGTCATTCGATATATTTACGATTGCATGCTTAAAATGTTCAGCCTAAAGCAAATCTGTATGGTGATTGATCCAAAAATTCTTTTGTTTATAATCTGTGCTTCTGATAAAAGTTGGTATAGAGTATAATAGTTGCAGAACATAATACGTTGGCACTTGAGACTCAAAATGAAAGCAGAAATGTCATATTTCGTTTGTTTTTGGTGTGGATACGGTTCATGCTTGTGCGTGCTGGTCGTTGGAACATCGGCATCGGATCATGGCTCGCAGCACCGGAGCGAAGAGTGGATGCTTGGCGGCGTAGATGAGAGGATTGATGCAGCCACTCAGGAATACGATGAGGGCGCCATACAGCTGGTAACGATGGCTCTTGGTAACCACCATGATGGCGAGAGGGGTGAAGCAAACGACGAAGGCCAAGACGACCACGAAGAGGTTCTTGGTGATTGCCAGTTGGTCGTTCTTGCTGCTAGTCAGCTGACGGGAACTCTCGGTGCGTCGAAGCGATGCCTGCTGGTTGCGGGTGCGCCTCGAGGTGCTGTCGTCTATCTCAAGCATGGAGATGGACGAAGGAGCTGTCTGCACGACTGTGGAAGACTGCAAACGCTCGCACATTTGTTGCTGGTACTTCCTGAAATGTTTCTTGACGTGTTTCCAGATGAGGACGTAGGAGACGAGGACCACGGCGGCAGGAAGCGGATAGTAGAGTGCAAACTGGATGTTATCGTAGGTAACATCTTTAGGGTGGGTTTCAATGTCAGAACAAGTTCGACTTTCAGGATCGAAACCGAGATCGCCGACTCCGGAAAGCGGTGGCACCACGGTGGTGCAGAGGGGAACGAGCCAAGAGCCCAAGACCATCAGTGCAATCTTCTTGGGTGTGTACAGACACTGGTAGGTCTCCTTAGGCCTAGTGATCAGGATGCACCGGTTTAGGGCGATGTTTGCAAGGGTGAACACGCATGTTCCCCACGCAATTAACATAAGTACAGCCGCCGCAACGCACGGGACGTCGGACTGTAACGGGTAGCCCGGTGTTTCACTCACCATTGCCGGCACGCTCCACAGGAGTGCGAAACTCAGCAGAACATGAGACACACTCAGGTTGACAACAAATACGTTGGTGACGTTCCGGAGTTTCCGTGTTCGGGCCACAGCAACCAACACCAGGCTGTTACCGAAGAAAGTCCCCACAATCAGGACAGAGAACCCCACTGCACAGAAGACCAGCTCTGGGTAGGTGTATATGGACTCGACAACAAGAGGCTGTACAGTCGAGTTTGGATGAAGAGTGAAGTTTGGGTGAAGAGTTGAGTCCGGAAGAGTGGAGTTCGGGTGAAATGTTGTGTGCGGCTGAATGGTTGCGATCGTGGGAAACGCCATGCTGCAGCTTTTGATGCTCTGGCTTTCTGAGCCCTGACGCATCAAACAAATCCTTAAATACAAGTTGTAATGTTTTAACAAATACACTTTGATTACTTTACCACAAGCTACGATCAACACCTGTAAAAAATAAATCATGCTTTTTAAAGTAAATCAAAAACATCGGTTGAAAATACTTTCATTCTCATCAGATACAATTTATGTATATTATCAATTGTGGTATACTTCCTGGAACTTTCACCTTTCAATTAATTCAAAGCAACATAAGACCGACATGGGTGAGACAAGACCAAATGTTTAGTTCACATTCCTCGACTCATATTTATAAATTAAGGTGTCATTTAATGACACCTTAATTTATAAATATGAGTCGAGGAAATGAGCTCTTAAAAATGGATGAAAACAGCAACATATGCGATGTACATGAAGGAGCTAATGACAGGAAACAGTTGTCTATTTTTACAAAATTCTGAAATATAACGACGTTTTGATAACGCCCATCAGCTGCATTCACTTTATGAGTCAAAATCAACGGCGTGAGTAAAAGTCCATGGTAAAGAAAATATTTGGTGTTTGCAAAAAGAAAAGATAATTCTGTGCAAATGAAAGTTGAAGGCAACGTCCGGTTGACGTTCCATAACATTTCTCTTGCAGTTTCCGCCTAATGAATCCTTCACTTAAAAGTGTTTAATTCAAGTAGTCTAAAACTTTTGAGGGAGACGTGTGTCCCAATGAAAGGTATGATTAACTCATTGTATCCCGAATCAAATTCCGCAAGCTAAATATTGCACTTTTAAAGTGCTTAAAACGCAAAAGGCTGGTTAAGTTTTCCAATTTAAAAATACAAAATTAGATTGTTTTTCAAAAAATGGCAATGCCCATATACATAATTATGTCTAAATGTTTACACTGTATATTCCAAGTCATTGGATATATTTACGATTGCATGCTTAAAATGTTCAGCCTTAAGCAAATCTGTATGGTGATTGATCCAAAAAATTCTTTTGTTTATAATCTGTGCTTCTGATAAAAGTTGGTATCGAGTATAATAGTTACAGAACATAATACGTCGGCACTTGAGACTCAAATGGAAGCAAAATGTCATATTTCGTTTGTTTTTGGTGAGGATGTGGTTCATGTTTGTGCGTGCTGGTCGTTGGAACATCGGCATCGGATCATGGCTCGCAGCACCGGAGCGAAGAGTGGATGCTTGGCGGCGTAGATGAGAGGATTGATGCAGCCACTCAGGAAAAGGATGAGGGCGCCATACAGCTGGTAACGTTGGCTCTTGGTAACCGCCATGATGGCGAGAGGGCTGAAGCAAACGACGAAGGCCAAGACGACCACGAAGAGGTTCTTGGTGATTGCCAGTTGGTCGTGCTTGCTGCTAGTCAGCTGACGGAAACTCCCGGTGCGTCGAAGCGATGCCTGCTGGTTGCGGGTGCGCCTCGAGGTGCTGTCGTCTATCCCAAGCATGGAGATGGACGAAGGAGCTGTCTGCACGACTGTGGAAGACTGCAAACGCTCGCACATATGTTGCTGGTACTTCCTGAAATGTTTCTTGACGTGTTTCCAGATGAGGACGTAGGAGACGAGGACCACGGCGGCAGGAAGCGGATAGTAGAGTGCAAACTGGATGTTATCGTAGGTAACATCTTCTGGGTGGGTGACAATGTGAGAACAAGTTCGACTTTCAGGATCGAAACCGAGATCCCCAACTCCGGAAAGCGGTGGCACCACGGTGGTGCAGAGGGGAACGAGCCAAGAGCCCAAGACCATTAGTGCAATCTTCCTGGGTGTGTACAGCCACTGGTAGGTCTCCTTAGGCCTGGTGATCAGGATGCACCGGTTTAGGGCGATGTTTGCAAGGGTGAACACGCATGTTCCCCACGCAATGAACATAAGTACAGCCGCCGCAACGCACGGGACGTCGGACTGTAACGGGTAGCCCGGTGTTTCACTCACCATTGCCGGCACGCTCCACAGGACAGCGAAACTCAACAGAACATGAGACACACTCAGGTTGACAACAAATACGTTGGTGACGTTCCGGAGTTTCCGTGTTCGGGCCACAGCAACCAACACCAGGCTGTTACCGAAGAAAGTCCCCACAATCAGAATAGAGAGCCCCACTGCACAGAAGACAAGCTCTGGGTAGGTGTATATGGACTCGACAACACGAGGCTGTACAGTCGAGTTTGGATGAAGAGTGAAGTTTGGGTGAAGAGTTGAGTCCGGAAGAGTAGAGTTTGGGTGAAAAGTTGTGTGCGGCTGAATGGTCACGTTCGTGGGATACGCCATGCTGCAGCTTTTGATGCTCTGGCTTTCTGAGCCCTGACGCATCAAACAAATCCTTAAATACAAGTTGTAATGTTTTAACAAATCCACCTTGATTACTTTACCACAAGGTACGATCAACACCTGTAATAAATAAATCATTGTTTTTTTAAAGTAAAACAAAAACGTCGTTTGACAATATTCTCGTTCTCAAATGATAAATGTATGTACATTATCAATTGTGTATAATTCCTCTTACTTTCACTTTTCAATTAGTATAAAGCAACCTAGGGAATATATCTTATGAAAGTGTCTTTGTATTTTTTAATTTCTAAAGCTTATGCACAAGCCTTTTCTTGGTAGCAGGCCACGACATTGTTGTAGCTGATAAATTCCAAACGTCGTTGACAAATAAAGGGAAAAGAAGATTACACAAATTCTGAAGAAGATCATAATCACAGAACAAAAATGGGGCTTTCTAGATATTCAAAAGCTTGCAAAGGGAGCCTACCTAAAACTTTCAACGTTGACCGGACAGAAAACAGACAAACATTCCCAATAGACTGTTTACGAACCTGTTTTAGGTATAAAACAGGTTATACCTGTTTAGGTATAAAAGGAAACCCTGATAACAAAATCGGAATACAGATGGATAAAAACAGCAACAAATGCGATGTACACAAGCAGCGAATGACATGAAGCCATTCCACCTGCATGCTGCTGACATAAAGGGAATACTGACAGGTGTCTGTTTCAAATACAATCTAAAAACAACTTGACATATATTCTGCTGCGCCGAGCTGAATTTATTGCAACGCGTTTATATCAACACCACGCGTAGATTAACTATCAGGTCTCTTGTTATTTGTTTCAATTTCAATTCATCAAATCCACTTGAATTTCCTCAAAGTTTTACCTTTTCGAAACACCCATGGTGAAACAAATAATAGGGCCTAGATGTTGTGAAATAGAAACTTGACGGTGTCACGAATTTCTATAAACAGTCCTGTTGCAGTTTCTGACTATTAATCCTCACAGAAACGATTTAAGATCAAGCAGTAAAACAAAAACTCTAAGGGGGAATTCGTTCCCTGCTGTTAGGTATGCCCTCGCCGGGTTATTTTTATAGGCTATACTCCATTGAGAGCTACCACCCCATGACCCCTACATGTCACTCATTCATTCATTTATTAAATGATTTATTAAAATAATAAAGGCTTAATTTAACATGATTAACATTTAAAACAAATCAGAAAACAAAAACAACAATGATATTAAAGGGAATATACATCATTTGCTTTTGCTGTAATTTTCAGAAATGAATGGAATTGGGGGGTTGGAAATATATAGCAAATATAGTTACACTGACTTTTTTGAGGTTTTGGGTTCGAAAATGCTATAAAAACCAAGAAAAACGATCATTTTCCTGTAGTCTGGTTCCCTGACTCCATATAAGAAGAAACAGAGCAGTTTACATACATTGGGGAATTGTAAGGTCAGGGAACCAGTCTAGCTGGCTCGTACCCGTTCATAGGTTTGTAATCGATTGCAAACAAGTGCGATGGTCAATTGGGGCCAGTATTTGAAAAAAAAAGCCAGTTGTTTCCAACGCTGATCGGCCGATCAGCGTTGGAAATTGATACAAAAATACCACTTTTCTTGAAAATGACAGTATACCAGGTGCCATGATTTTACAGGATGCTTTATACTGTCATTCACGAACAGTCCAGCAAGGTATTTCAAAATGATTTGGTAGTTTTATTTTTTGATGTTTGCAAATGTTGTATTTTCCCTTTAAGATATTAAAAAGTACCAGAAAAAAACTGACACAAAACCGTTACGCGACAACAAAACAACAAAACTTCAATAAAAAAAACTGCTCAAAACTAAAAAAAAAAACAGTGCGGTCCAAAGATAACATCATAATCGATTAATGTCAAGCAAATGTTGAAGATCACTTCAAAGTATAAACGTTTCCTATTCAAGAGAATTATACTACAACGTATCTCCCTGCATTTAGGTAACGCAAACCCACCACGTGATGTAGACGATACCGAAATACAACCAAGGTTCAACCTCGTACAGGCCCGGGGTAAGAGGGTGGTGCTACTGATTGACACGTCAAGTAGCATGCAGGTAAATGCTGGCGTGAATCTCAAATTACAAAACTGAAATGTGTGTACATTTGGGGGTTTTCCTAAATATACTCAGCTTCCGACATACTTTTGTATGAGATTCTTCTTGGAACTAAACATCATAATTATAATTCTTGAGATTGATATCTTATTTTTTTGTCAATGCCAGTACGACAATCGTTTCCAAACACTGCACAGCGCAGCCGCCCATTTCATCCAATCAGTGGCCGACATTGGAAGTCACGTGGGGATCGTGCAGTACAACGAAGTTGCGCATGTCTGCAGCTGGCTTGTTCGGATACGTTCTGAGAGCGACAGGCAAGCTCTGCTAGACTCTTTACCAGTCGTCTCGGGCAACTTTACCTCTCGTTACAGCCAAGGACTGCTGACGTCATTACAGGTAAACAAAAACATGACCAATAATTATCAAACACCTTGTCAAGTTATGCAATCTGTCAGAACATCTTTAAATATTTTTTTTTAACTCGGATTTAAGAACATAAAGAACACCTCTCGATACACTCTGGCGTTTTGAAAATACATTAAAATACTAGCAGCTTAAAGATGATCAGCAGCTTTTACAATAATGTGCCATTAACGCACTTACGAGGTACACCGTTGAGGTTAGTTATTTCTTTACTTGTTAAGGAATTATGTTAAGCGATGTAATCATTTTAGCAAGACTGGGCGGAATACTATGTGAGTTTCAACGAGATATACCAAAAAGGACATCAGCTTTGTCAAATTGACGATTGGAGATTTCTTTAAGTCTCAAGGCTGTGTGTCCTTTGTACTTTTTAAAATCTGAATCTTTATGCTTGCCAAGTACGCACAACTAAAATGCCTCTTTCTCGACCATAAAGGTGCTATCTTCGGATGGGACGGAGTCTGCGGCCGGGGGGATTGTTATTATGTTTGCAGACGGCTCAGACTCTGATCAAGCTGCCACCGACAATGTCGTGTCGATGCTTGTCGACAACGCGGTGGTTGTCGACACGGTCGCTGCAACCGATCCGAACCCCAAGACGCTGCCAGATATCGCCGCAAAGACAGGTAACATACGACACTCATTTCATATTTTGCTTGAATTCCTACTTTTGGTATAGCCTAAGTCATTTAAAATAAGCAAAGTCTGACAGACATTTCATTTTTGGCACTTTGACTGTCATTTTAGGAGGCAGATCTTTTCACTATCAGGCCAACAGGGATGGTCTGGCATCAGTCTTGTACCACGCGTTCGCTGGCCTCATGGTTAGGAGCCAGGCGGAAAGCGACCAAAACAGGAGAATCATGGCAAGTTCTTCTCATTGTATTATTATTTTTTTCGAGAGTGCCTGATTTTACAGATGTTTTGTCGACCTTTGTTCAAGTCCACTTTCTTCATTACCAATAGACAGTTCATATGTGACTCAATAGTAAGGCACACAGTCTATCTTTAGTACATATATTTAATTTAACTGTGGAATAAAAACAAAAATTAAAAACTGACCCACGTGCACTTTGGCATTGTTATTATAGTATTATTATATATTAAAATACGTCGTTGAAGGGTAAAACCTAATATTGAATTGTTATTATAAAAAAAATATGTCTGCAGATTTCAAGCCACACCGTAAGCCTTGGAGGGGGACAGGAGCAAACATGGAATTTCAGCCTTGACGAGTCAGTGGGACGTGAAACAGAACTTATGTTTACCTGGACAGAACGGGATTCACTTGGTGAGGACAATTCTGCTCTGTCACGAAATGGTTGAAATTTTCATGAGTCATCTCAATGAACTTCGAACCGTCACGTGTCATTTTCTTTTAACTCTTTTGTTTAACATAACCATTGCACTAACTTCATTTTAGCAAACGTCAAAGGACTTTCATGTGCTTGGTTGTTCTTTCTTTTTTCAGAGACAGATATTGTTCTGATATCTCCCAGCGGCGCAGCCTTTAACAGCACCTATCCTGGATACCAGAACATGTCGGATTTCAAGTATCTTACCTTCTCTATCCAGGGTACAGCTGAGGTAGGTTAACAGGATGGAATTCAGGCTTCCATTTCATGTTCCAACAGTGCACAACTGCAGAGAAACAATAAAACGAGCGACAGTTGAAAATATACCTTTATAGGCCACCCTGTTTTTATAAAAACAAATCCCGCTAGATACCAAGCATATAATTCAACTTTCAAAAAACCTAAATGCCTTCTGGATGAGGTAGATATTGCTCAAACGTTGTACACTGCAAAGCGACTATGATCTATAACCATAAACAGATGCAATTAACAAAGAAGTAGACCAAAAGGTGTTTTTTCCAATGTTTGAAATTTGTCAACCAACTTTGGTCTATCTGTAATATTTCTTTCACACAAAAAGACAGGACAATGGGAGGTGCACATGCGCAACCTGCTTCCGTCAGACGCCGTGTCGGTCATGTGCATCGTGACGTCGCACGCAAGAAGCGATGACGTGGAACCAATCCTCATCACCCCCATGCTGAGCAGCTACACCATCGACGTGGCCTCGGGGGAACGCCTCTGTATCTACGTAGAGGTTTGTCAGGGGTTGCGGCCCGTAGTAGGGGCCCGTGTCATTGCTACCATCTACCCACCTGGTGGGCACCCTGATAGAACTGTGGAACTATTGGATAACGGGGCAGGTAAGTCTCCTTAATCATGTCGATACTCTCTCGTCATTGGTACAGACCATGTTACATGCGACATCATAACGAAAGGCAACCCAAACATTCACGCATCTTTTTGCAAAATTACAAGCAAAGTACCACCTATTTCAATTAGGAAAAAGACGTTTTTGTATTATGTCGCAGGAGCTGACGTTCGTAGAGGCGACGGCGTGTACTCGCGCTACTACGTGAACCAGCCCAACCGGAAAGGGTTCAACACCGTGCAAGTCACTGTAACCAGCAGTCCCAACACGACCTCCCTCAACAGCAGCTCACAGCCAAGAAATGTACCGAATATCAGCCCTGATGACTACGCAGCATTTCCTCGAATTGGTAGGCCTTTCATTACTGAAATATCCAAAGTAAATTTGTTCTAAGCTATATAATTCTCAGGCCTAGAAATGAGCCTTGTGGAACACTAGAAAGTGAATTTTCTTGCATTTCTTCATTTTCAAGGGAACTTCACGATCTTCGCCCCTGGCACTCAGCCAAGGCAGCTTCACGGTACCAGAGTCACGGACCTGTCCCGGCATGCATCTGGCTTCACGGCTTACTTCACAAACTTTCCCGCCTCCCCGGCTGACCTCATACCGCCCTCTCGCATCCATGACCTCCGCGTGGTCGCGACTCAGCGGCAAGACCAATGGGCGACCGTTACGCTTTCGTGGACAGCAACTGGGGAAGACGCGGACAGTGGAACTGGTGAGTAAAATGGTTAACGAAGGACTACGAAGACCGGTGAAATAACAGGTTTTTTAACGATTTCATAACGGTTGATTTTGTATGTCTTTCCAGCGTCCAGATATGACATCAGATACTCCGACAATGTTTCAGCGATCGCCGACAACTTTGACCAGGCCATATCGGTGTCTGAGTCCGATGTTCTAGATGGAAATCTGACCAAACCTCTACATGCAATGAACACAGAACGTTTCACCATACGAGTTCCCCTCAAACAGGCCTCTGTGACGTCATCAATGACCTTTGCCCTCAAGGCGGCCGACAGTGGCGGTCAGTTCGGAGAATTGTCCAACGTGGCCCGTGCAACGTTCCGAATGTTCGTGCCCGAGCCTGCGTCTCCGAGCTCATCAACGATATCACCATTTTCAACTTTTGAGCCTTTACATACCACCGTCGAATACCAAACCGAGCGGCAGACATCAACAGTAACAGTGATCACCCACAGATCTGCAACAGCAGGGAAAGGCATATCAACGCTTGGTGGTGCTGTAACAGCAACTACAACGCTTGGTGGCGCTGTAACAGCAACTACAACGCTTGGTGGCGCTGTAACAGCAACTACAACGCTTGGTGGCGCTGTAACAGCAACCACAAACCTTGGTGGCGCTGTAACAGCAGCTACAAAGTTTGGTGGCGCTGTAACCACAACTTCAACCTCGTTTTCCACAGACAATTATTCCGAGGACTCATCTGCGACAATCAGCACTGACCCGGTACCTCGTTCCCCCGCAGGTCGAACACTTTACGGGGCCGAGATTGCCGCGATAGCAGTTGGCGCGCTGATGCTGTCTAGCGCCCTCGTCGTCGGCATAGGCTACGTGACAATGAAACTGTTTCTGAAAAACCGTTTCGGTGTCACTCGAGTGTCAAACGGGACAAGTAATATAGACGAACTACCGCGTAAGGAACTTCCCTTAGAGGAGGGTCCGCTGTTTGATCGCATGATTTCTACCTCGTCCGCATATAGTAAAACAAGTGTTGTTTGAAATTACGAAAAATCTGTATGCAGAACCTGCGATTTCCCTTGCAGTGCGCCACCAAATCAACACCTCAAAGACGTCACGGTCTGCATCCTATATACTGGTCATCCACCTGTCCATTTAATTAAGTGCAGTACCACACTAACACAAATGCATCTCGTGGCGAACACAGTTTGAAAGTCGCATTTGGATGTCGGCAGTGTCCCAACAAGTGCACCGGGAATTATCATGGCCTCCCAGTGATAACCTCTTGATTTTTATGTGGATATCGATCGCTTCCATTATTTATAATTTAAAATTGAGTTCAGGCGACCTCACTGTGAGCGTGCGCTTTTTACATTTATTCTGTAAATACTATAAAACTTTGATTTCTGACTTTTAGTTTTGGAACTTTCAAAAAAGACAAGGTCGTAATTAGAGTAAAGGTTAGTTTCCTGATCGTTATGCATGAAATGATTGACGCCAAGCGTTCCGAGCAGCTGATCATGCATATTGCCGTTTAGACCGGTCAATTGAGACGTTTAGGCCCACTTCAACTGAAAATGACTGACGTTCAAATTGTAACGTATCACTTGCTGTCCGTGGTTTTCAGACATTAAATTGGAGACAGAAAAAAACATCTTCGTCATACAGTTCTCTCCTGAATCCATTTTCGTCCCCGTCTTGTGACTTTCTCGTGATTGTGATCATGTCCCTGTAGTCCGTGTCTCTCCTTGTAAAAGTAAAGTAAAGTCTGTCACATGCCAATGTGGCCCATTATGCCGGCGTTTATTTTCGGTTTCAGTAGTATGAAACGACTGAGAATATATAAAACATTTTGCCAACCACGGATTGCCAAACTATGGAAGGTCCAACACTGCAGAAATGAAGAATAGTTATTAATGATAAACAAAATATTATTTGATTGTTGAAAATACAACATTGTCATCAAATAACTCCTAAACATGCCTTTTTCTTATGTTATGAGGGTGTTATGAGGACTTTTTTGGAAAAATACGTTGCCAACTGCGGCTTCAATTTATGCGCTTGCGGCAGCCCATACAAAATGGCGCTGAATGTTTACTAACAATATAGCTATAGGTTTATTATCATTGGGGGAAAAGTACATGTATATATACGTTTGGATGTATGCCAATATAGGAATCCGGTTTGATTGAACGACACGAAAGCGACGTCGGTAAGATCAAGGCACCCATTGTGACACAAGAATGGAACTTACGGCGAGTGACTGTACACAAGGGCACAGGAAACAAATACGTCACGCGCGCGCGAAGATGGGGCATGTCTTTATTTTTAGGTACAAATTTGGAGTCGGTAAGATCAAGGGCTCAATTCACTGTGACGGCAAGTGTAAAGCAGAGAAAAGGCATACTCTTAAAAGCGAAGGTTATATATCGGTCGGGTCACGTCATCATCGGAAGAATGCGGATGTTCAGAGTGTGATGCGCAATGTACAGTACAGGGCATGGGGGCCTATGAATCTAATTTTAGTGCGTGTTATTATTATTTTTAAAAAAAATCACCTTATGCTGTCTGTACAGTCACAGACAGTCAAAAAATCCTCTTCCCTGCCATGCCTTTGACAAATGCTAGTCACCACAGTCAGATCATAAATACTGTGACTAGTCAAATTCGGTCAACTGACAAAGGCAGGCAAGTGGTACAAACAGCTGGCTTATCAATCACCTAAAGTCAAAGCATACAGCCGTATCAAGTTGCATAAACAGTCACAGCCATTCAATCATGCTTTATGTAGACTGGGAGCTCTTAACTGTTAAAGACAGTCAGTCACTTAATTGATTTTGACTGAAAGTATAACTTTGCACAGAATGTATGTTTGCATAGGAGGGTTTTAAATAATGTTTGCCAGTCGTAAAGTTTAAAAGTTCAAGTATTTTCGAAGTACACTGTATCTTCTTAAAGACAATTCAGCAGAACTATCTATGGTACCGAATTTAAAATAAAAAAATGCATTTCTTGCTTTAAATTACCGTCGAGTAAAAAAAGACCTTCCCCTTCCCTCTTCCCTTTGAAAACACCATTTTTAACCAGCACTGATTTACCATGAGGCAAAATCACAATCTTTTACCTATTGTATCCTACTCCACCTGATCGAACTTTTTGAAAGGTTAAACATCTGCTGCCGATTGAAGTGCTACATTTTTAATGTTGAACATTAATAAATGGTTGCCACAAAGTCAGCATACCGTGTCCTAAACCTCCTTTCTTTAATATTATTGAACTCATGTAAACACTCTTTGATCATTCAGCTGTAGTTCCAGGCGTCATAATGACTGTGTAACATGCCAGACATGTTGCCAGTATTTAGTGCCGGTTTGACGAGTATTTTTTGTAGAATCGAATTTTATAAAAAGTCAAAATTAGCTGCCGAATGAAAATGTTTCAGTCATCATATTGACTGTGTTACATGAATTTACTGACTCTGTTACATGGATTTAGTGAGACATGTTGTCAATTTGCTGAGAGTTGTGAAGCAAAAAAAGTAAATATTGGTCGGCGACCAGCGAAGAATACATGAAAACTTGGTTGCCATAATAATAAGAAGATAATAAGGAGCTGGATGGGAATTTCCCCGTGTTTTCTCCCAAAAGGGTTTTCGCGGGGTTTACAGCAATATTTTTCTTTTCTTTTCTTGATGTTACAAGATAGATCCAAATTTTTCGTGTTCACTGAATCAACTTCATAGTAAAGCATTCACACTGTACATGTAGTTATAATAGTTTTAAAATATATTGTATTTATAATATTTGCTTAACACCTATGCATTATTCAAATAATGTTTTATCTCACTGTATTGAATTTTATTGTATTTGTAATGTATTGTATAATTATACATGTTTGTAGACATTATTTATTGTATGCAGGGCCCCAATGGAAACCAGTTTTAAACTGTTTGGGCATACCCTGGGTAAAGAAATGGAATAAATAAATAAATAAATAAATAAAACTAATGTTGTTTATCGGACATTGGAAATTCAAAAAGCGTTTGAAGGAGCGGGTTGGAGAGTATTCGACAAAAGGTGGCGCTGTTCATGATACAAACTTATTTCGCCGTCGACCTACTAAACTAGAATTTGATTTTAATAGCTCTTTTATCTTCGTGTGTTTCTTCATATCAACAAGTACTTAAGTGCGATGATCTCACAGCCCATCCCCTGCCCGGTCAAAAAGGGTGGGTATGCCTATACATCATAAAAAACAGTATGCACTGCCCCGGAATGTATGATGTGTTCAAATTATTTTAGTGACGAGTTATGGTGAGAGGGCTCGGCCGTGCAATCATTCTTCATCACTTTGATCCAAGCGTACTTGTAATGTTGTAGACGTACTGTCCAATTAAAGACTCAGGGTAAGATCAGTTGAATGCAAAGTTGTGACACTTTCCCCTCCCCACCCCTCCAAACCACAAGCTTCTCGGATCAAGCCTTGCATGATCCCGCTTGCCCTTTTCGCAGGCAGGTGAGCGCTGGTGACATCATCACCCAACCGGCTCTTCCTCCAATTAATTAAATTAACGCCCCTGCTAAATCTCAGGCCCAGGGAACCAGCTGACTGCGGCTTATGTTAGCGGAATCAGGGGCCTGAACCGAGCGCTCAACCCTCTTTCCACAGAACAACCACCGAGAAAAAAATGCTTAGTAATTCCCCGGTGAGTTTCAGGAAACAATAAGCGTCACTCCGGATCCCCTCATACATGCTCATCGCTTATGGAGGGATGAGAGGGGCGCGATTTGTCAAAGAAAAAAAGTTTCAAGTGTCCCCTCGAAGAAGTTTTTGCCGGGCCCGGGACTCTGTCGCCAGGCGGCGTGACACGCTGGCACTCCGGCCAAAAGTGGGTCTAGACTTCGTGTCTCCTCCTGTTCAGAGCGGGGATAAAAGGGGCCCAATTAAGCGGAAAGTGCAGTTCGTAATGGGGGAAGCGGTCGGGCTGCGCTGCACCAGTAGGTTCCACTGCTTTCTACCTCTACCACTCGCGGGTGTGGGAGCTACAGCTTACGTGCTCCGAGGGTTTGTTTCCAATCCAACCAGCCTTTAGTCCGTCCTTGTTCGAGTGATGCCCGTCGGCAGCCTGTTTCAGTTCCACGGCCTTGCCGGTACGTTAGCAAGAGGTTCCACATCGCGACACCTTTTGATGTGCCGGCGCGCGTGATACCTCTACTTCGGGCCAGTGGCTTCGCGGATGCGCACTTCTGCAAAGTCATACCCGGACTTATACACGCTGCACCAAAAACTTGGATTATATACCTCACGAATTCCAGCCAACCCGGATGCAGAATAAACTGAAACAAAACTTGATTTCTACACGCCAAGGATACAAATTGTGTAACAGTTAAAACGGGCAACTGTACACGGAACCATAAGACACCATGATGATTTTTGTGCGCGCTAAACACTCGGCTGTTGTGCTGTCGCATTGGACAAGATGTTGTTTAATATACGCAATTGTCGCCGGCCTTCTTACGAGACACGGTAAGTCCTGCCTTCATTATCATTGAAATTGCTCTCTCTTCTTTTCCTCTTTCATCCGCCTCAATTTTCAGCCAGCTCCAGTCGATCCTTTTCAATACCCGTAATGAAGTGGCTTTTCCCCTGCAGGGATTCTTTTTCTCTTTTTCCCGTCTCCCCCTTCTTAGAATGAATCACATGAAGATTAAAGAGCAACATGTAACGTTGAAAGAAGAAAGCATTCAACAATAAACTGAAGTGGTCTGTCGAATTGGTTGGCGGCAATTTTCCTCACAATTCTCATTACTTGTCGTGCTAGACTCCATCGCTGTTTGCAGTGATACCTGTTGAAAGACATCAGATTTTGGGGGTCGTTTCACAAGACACTGTTCTGCCGTAGCCTAAATTGCAAGACGTGTTCCAAGTTTAAGATGCTCTGCGTCTGCGTTTGATAAACCTGAGTCCTAACCTATTTGAATTGGGTTATTAAGTATGATCTGAAGTTTGTTTGGTGGAGTGAATACGAAAATGGGGTTTTGTCGATTCTGAAAAAAAATTGACAAGAACTCCCCCATCATTTAGAAAACACTGTCATCGTTGTTTCTTTTAGAACCAATAATTCTTCATTTCAAGAAATCGATGGTCAATGCATCAGCAATTTTACACGAGTACAAAACAGGGAGCTTGATGCTGTGGCAACCCATTACCCCTGAAGCGGCAGTAATTCTTCATTTTTAGAAATTAATCACTTAAAGAAATTGATGGTCATTGCGTTATCCGCAAATCTCGATCATACAAATACTGAATTAAGATCTCTTTCATAATTATAGTTCGCCAGATTTACCATTTTCGAATTTTGTTTTACCATTTCGAAATGTTTAAACCAAGAGAATGGGATTCCAAGCAAAATCATGTGTCATATCCCCGTTGTGTGGTTACGTGATGCAAACTTTCAACCGGAAAAGGCCAACCGATCATGTTTATTCTCGGTATTATTATTTGCATTGAAATTATTATTACATGTAGTTCACGCTACATTGTGCAACAGGGCTGGGAAGGAAATACATAATTTTGATTTTATTTTACTGTATTGTATATTTTATAACTGTACGTGTATGTCGTCATTTGAAATATATGCAGGGCCCCAATGGAAACCAGTTTTAAACTGTTTGGGCATACCCTGGGTAAATAAATGTGATAAATATATCAATAAATAATGAATACGCCTAGATAGCTATTTTGCAAATCGACATGCATGACGTCAGAGGGGACTTGAACTTTAATAGCTTTTGGAGTAATATTGTTATAGTGTTGGGCTTTTTTCCAGATCACTGGGGATAGTGCCGTTTAAATGTGGAGCGTTTCATCATTTGAATGTTTTGTCATACACAAACATATTATAAAATAGGATGCATCATTGAACGAAATGCATAATAGTTGACCAGATTAATCCCCACGGGAATCACCTTTATTGGGGCAATGGGCTACCACAGGATCAAGCCCTTTTTTGTAATCAAGTAAAACTTATGCTAAATTTAGTTTTGAAAATATGGGGGGAGTTAAGAAAAGAAGAGTACAAGTTTCTGCCATGTCTCTCCCCAATCCGCCCACACCCACTCTGTACCCCTCACTTTTCAAATTTTCTACGTTCGGAAAATGTCATGATTCATGGAATATTATACATTTGTGCCCTTATGTTGAGAGACAATGCATTTGCCTTGTATGCTGTACAAAGTATATGACATTATTCGGGAGCGGTTATGCTCTTTATGTCTGTTTTGCTTTCATTTCGTACTTGGCTTTTATTCGCACTTCGGCGGAATCATTTTATCGAGGTTTAACTACATGTACGATTTACCTGAGTTGATAAGGATTTTCTTCACTAAGTTTATGTTTGTTACACACGAAATAAGAGAATGACTCTCCTTTTCTTTTTGATGTATCATTAAGTTAAAAAAATAAATGCTAGTATGCGAGTGAAAATGCTGACTGTTCATATGCTGTCAACATTTGTACAATTTGGGTTGAGGAGACATCTAGTGTGGCGGCTCGTTGCTGTTTGAGCTTGACGAGGTCACGTTAATTTTCTCTTAAGCTAGGAGTATATCTTCACTCCGAAATGATGACAATTATTCTCTTCGCTTTTCGCATAAATGGAAAGGAAAGCACCTCCTCATGCCCTGGCACGTTGCCCCCTCTTATTTACAGACGCCCGTTTAACGCCCTGGGATGGGGGAAAATACAAATTCAGATAAACGTGCTAACACCACTTCAGACGACTTCCCAATTAAATCATTATTTTGAGACGCCACCTAAAAGCCGTTTAATTGCCCAACTCTATCAAAGCTGACAGGTTTCCTAACTCGAAATTTCCGGAGTCCATTGGCCGACTGCCGCTCGAAATGCCCCGATAAGATCGCGGAGCACTTGGCGGTGCTGGCCCGCTGGGGGTTGCAATAAAAATTTGGGGACACGTTGTCCACTTTTCAATTTTCAAATTCTGCAATGTGATAATTAATATACAGTGTCAAAATGTTAAAGCAGTAGTGGGCCAGATAGGGGAAATATTTGGGGAATCGTGCCTTTGATGATACAAGCATGGCATTTGGCACACAGTCAGAGTATGTCTTAAGAGAGACATTTGGCTATAGGGCCAGCGCAGATTTGTAGGTAGGTAGAATAACAAGCCATTTTTAAAATTTTCAAAATGGTTGCCATTACAAATCTGCGATGGCCCTTTCCCCATCATGATCATGACATACTCTAACTGTGTGCCAAATGCCATGCTTGTATCATAAATGGCACAATATGCAATGGCTCTGTACTTTATGAAGGTATCTTCTTTTTTTGCTGAAGCGTTTCTAAGATTTATATTTATCTTGACGATTTCTTTCATTTTAGCGTTCGCTTCGCCTTCGACAAAACCAGACAAGCACACGCACCACGCCAGCAGCGTGGCCGACCCAGGGCCTCTATACCAGGACAGTTTCCACCGGGTATCGGAGCACGCTATTACGGAATCTGATTGGCCGAGCGGGAAAATACCAGACGGTGATTCGTCCAGCACGCTGTCAGATGACTCGGGCGGGGCCCATGATCAAGACCTGCCGCTCTCAAAGTGCTGCTACAGACAGAAAAAGTACCACACCATTGGGTTCGGTGAGTGTCGTGACGTCATTGTTACGTCGTTCAGAAACCTTGAATCTTCTTTGAAGAGGGAGCAACAGAATGACTTAAAGGACATTTCACGTATCATTTCTTTCTCGTACTGAGCGCACATGAAGAAAACAAAATTTCACACCAGTTCGATTTGACAAATAATTATAACCGCCCGCATTCTGATTTTAGGCCTATGAAATATCGTTCGGGTAACTATTTCAGTGGTCAGGACATACCAGATAAACTACACGTGTAAACTGCGAAAGTCAAGGTTTTAAACCTGTGACATGCACACGTTATAGGAGTACATGTACATCAAAGGTTACGGTAAACAATTAATTAAGCTTACCTCTTCAAAATGGAGAGGGGTCAACATTCTCTTGAATACTCGGTTCCTGCAGACTCTAAAAGGAGAAAGAAAAAATATCATTACATCATGCACAATTTTGAATGTTGTCTTCTCCAATCTTGGGACACCACTGCCTTGAGCATTGCATTGAATGTGGAGGATATTGTTCAAATGCATTGCCATTGTTTCACTTTTAACCTTTCCAGGCCCATATAAATTGTAGTGTCCCATGTGCGGTTGACTACCTTCACAGAGCATCCGTGTACATTAATCGTTATTTGCAGCAGTCTGATCCAGAATATAGACTCCATAATATCTGATGGCGCCACCACTCACCGAATTTCTTATTCGGCATCCAAGCAACGAAATCTTGAATTAAGCGATCCAAATGTATCTTTCTCATTGAAATTTATGTTAGGCGCCCTCTATTTTGAGTCTGCGTGTATGCACTTGCAATTGATGTTCAAAAGAGGTACAGCTGCGTAATACATTGTACACGTATTACAGGGACGATAGCTGGAAATTGGAGCACCGAATTTTATTTTACTTTCAATGCATATCAAAAAAGTGTCCAATGACTCTTTTCTGCAAAGAGAAAATGTCTATTTACTGCTTTACCCGTGGGACAAAAGTTTTGAAATAAATAAACCGCCCTTAAAACGTGTCTGTTAACTTGGACGCAATGAAATTATTTAAGGCAAATACTGAAATAGCTGGTCGTAGGTCAGAATGGAAACTACAAAACATGACTTTAATGACCATTTTGACCATTTAGAAACGCAAACGATTATTCAATACCCTGATTGAAAAAAAAATTAATAAAACTGCAATGGTTTACAGAATGGTTGTCTTTATGTGTGACAGTTTTGGAAGTAAAACCATAGGCGTCCCCCCCCCGCCTGCATGGAAAAGCCCAAAAAGAAAGAGGAAAAAAAGGGGGGTTTGGAAATAAGAAAACGAGGTGCGAAGTCATATTGCTGTTAATTTAATGCACATTTAACAACATGGGTGTCCGCAGGGGTGTCAATGGGGATGGGGTGAGCAAGTCCCCGGCCACTCTCGATGATAAATTGAGTACAAGGATTTTGGGAAATAATGTGTTTTGCCCCTCTAGAAAAACCCTGGCGACGCCCATGAGTAAAATTAAAAAGCTGAAAGTGCAATTGAACTTCGACGCTGACGAGTATAGTCCAGATGGCTAAACCATCACGGAAACGATTGTTTGTTGGTATTATTAGTCCTGGGCGAAACATTGCGTTCACGGCTGTTCTAAGAACGTAAAATCGCAGGGCATTCACCGCCTGTGTGAAGATTTCCTCTTTTCAGATAAAAATAGGAATATTCCTTTTTGACAATAACCTCTTTGAAATGTTCTTGTCAATTGCTGCTCAAGTAATACAATGAATGTGGAGATCAAGATTTTTAAATTTCAGTCAAATGTGTTACGCAGAAAACAACAGTACTCTGTATCTGTGTTTTAATTTTACACCTGTCGTTAGTTAGTTTCAAAAAAGTTATCATTGGTAGCTTACTGTAATAATTAAAGGAATCGTGGGCTGCTTCGCAAGCGTGTTACGTGGGTGGGTACCGATTTCATCTGATCGTCTTTACTGCGAAGAAGTTAATGACGTGTTAACCATACTCTGTACAAACAAATTAATCTTTTATGGTAACGAGTTTTCCATCAGGGAATGCGAACAAACAATACTGACATGGCACGCAATGAATTAATGAACGTGCCACAAGACCATCTACCAAAACGGACGAGTTCACTCGAAAACATTTACCACTTGATTTTTGAGTCAATAAATACTTATTTTCACCACCATTATATGCTTTATTTAACGTTACAATGTTAAAGTTTTCAAGTATTCTGTTTGAACCAATGTGAATCTAATGACATCAATCACAGGTGCAATCAATCACAAGACATGTCACAAATATAAGAGGATTACAAACGAATAAGTTTGTCTTAGAAAGGAAGAATGAGACTGATGTCTTAAAATGAAGCTTGGAGATTGCAGAGTTTTATTAAGTGCAGTACGAATTGAGAAAATCACAACCCACAGGTAATTACCACAAGTAGATAACGATTATGAAAGGCGATGAAGGAAATGGACTTTTGATGACTTGTGAAGGCTTGATTGTATATCTCTGGCAATTTATACGCATTTGTTCTGTTTTGTCCTGTATTTTCTCATTTCAAGATACCTCAGCGAGGAGGCCAATCAGGAAGGACGTAGGGCGGTGTCGGAGGACTTATCTTGAACGGCCCACACCCAGAGGCCCAACCACAGACCCGAGGGTCCTGGTAAAGAGGAGCAAGGGACAGGGACCCGTGGTAGGTGTCTGTCAACCCGAAATCCTTGGCCTCTCATTTTGTTGGATAGCCCTAATGAGAACTTGTTTGTCAAGTTGTCATCAAATCAATCACAGGTCGTCAGAAGGGAATGAACACGGGATGAACACTAACGTAGGAATGCCTTTGACAAAGTTTAAGTGAACGATATGTGATGACTTGAAGTTGACTGACAAAATCAGGCAAATTTTACCGAGCTTTAACAGCCGACGTGTTTCCGACGTTTTGCGCGGCAACGACAAGGCTCGAGGCATTTCACCTGCATAGTTTGAGCCTAAGTTTATTTTCAAATAATAAGGTTTTCTTCAGCGTGGATGTGAACACTTAATGCCTCGTGCCCGCACACCAACATGCATGTCATTACACGAGAAGTCATTCCCCTCGCAACAACATTCTACACTACTCCACATCTATATCTTTCTATATGCAGTTGCGAATTTACACGCGAGCATGAGGTTGTTGCCCTTTTTAGAAAACAACGCCACTAGTTCTGCCACAGTTGGTCTGTCACTTCTGTTTTTGAAAAGCAAAGATTGACACTTTTGGGGGATGTTCGAGGGATTACACTTCACGTCAGCAGGCATCGAATCTGCCTCGACTCCAACAGTATGGAGTCAGATTATACGGATTTCTACTGATAGTTCTTTTCCCTGTAAAACTTCAGTCCTTCTATTTCCGTTCAAACAGAATCACTCGTGCAGGGGCGTCAATCGCTTCTCAAAAGTGGGGGGGGGGGGGGGGGGACATACCTTGATCAGAACTGATGCGAGCGCGAAGCCCTTCGGCGTAAAATTGGATTCTCGATGCTCTGTGATGTGATCTGAGGCCATTTCTTACCACTTTAACCAATAATTATCTTAGTAAAAGATATTCTAAATGCTATGTGGTGCTATCTGAGGCAATTTCTGACCACTTTTTTAACCAATATTTTCTAAGCAAAAGATACATTGTAGTACATAATAGGGCCCTGTAAATGAGACACGAGTTCAAAAATCTGGGGGGGGGGTGGACATTTGATATTGTGATCCCCACCCTTCAAAAAGTGGGGGGACGTGTCCCCCTGTCCCCCCCCCCCCCCCAGGATTGACGCCCATGCACTCGTGGGATAACTGGGCACAAGTCAGCCGACCATTGTGGCGCTGTCAATCACGCGTAGCATACCTTAAATTCTGTGGGCTTTTGTCCTCATTATTCGCTTCTGCCCAGTAGTGTTTACAGCTGATTGAGTTCGTTTGCTGACAAGTGAATTTGTGTTTTCATGATCCAGTGAAAACAAGATGGAGAGGCTTAGGAAACTAATATTTAGGTTTGTTTGTGATTTTACATGCAAAAAAGGGAATTAGTCTAATGGCAGTTGAGAGTAGACATCTTTGAATCGTTATGCAAAGTTTTGATCTTTTTGCGTTCCTTTGCGTTGGGGTTTCGAAACCGGTGGGTTTACCCTGACTGGGACCTTGAATGCAGAAAAACATGCAAAACAAATTCAGGCCAACTTTACTCACTTTTTTAGCCGACACAATTCTCCAAACTTTTCATTAGGCAAAGACGAGGTCCTCAGTATTTCTCCGGCAAAGTTTGAAAATCTCAGTTCTCATTTTTTAAAGGAGACTTTTCTTCAATATTTTGCAGATGATGAAGCCAAGTTATTTCAATAAGAAGCCTATGATTAGACTGGTTCATAACCAACTGGAGTTCGAAAAGACTGACCTCTTCAGTAGTCTTGTGGCGCGCAGATTATGGAGAGTAGTGTAGAAATAGAGACCGGTACCAGCTGTTTCTTTTGATACATTTGACCCATGCAGTACTAAAGCGGTGTTGGACTGGTTGTTTTTTTTATGTGCTTGTTTTCAATACTTTCATTGAACTCTCATACACAGTATTGAGAGTCCCAAATTTCGGACCGTAATACGTATTTGTAAAATGGGCAGACAAGTTAAATGTGTACCCTCGCTAAGGCAGAGTTAGATGCCATATATTGAACACTCAGAAACCAAATAATATGACTCTTCCATTTCATCCTAACACTACAGTAACAACATGGCTACGATTACGAAGCATTCGCAGAAGTCAATTTCACGAAACTGACGTGCATGTCTTGTCTAAAACCTCATTATTGTGTTGGTGTCGCCATGTGACTCGATTGTTTTCCTTGACCAGACAATATAAATATGTCTGGACTTTAACTCAAGATTATTAGTTTTGTGCTAATTTTTGTGTTACTCACCAGTGTGATCAACCATGCGATGATGGCAACCTGTGCCTGCCGACGCGAATTCTTCTGGAGCGCAGTTTGTACGCAAACGCATGGTCGCCCCTGGATTACGAGGTAAGGAACGAAAACAAACGAACAAACCAGGAAAAAGTACGGCGCGCCAAAGTGGTCTACAATTCAAAGAGTATAAAGGGGCAGTTTTGAAATCGAGAGGCTGTCGCCTTGAACAACATTTTAAAAAGAATATTTTTAACAAAATCATGTGATGTAATCTTCTGTTGTATACTAAAATGGTTAAGTTTTTTTCATGCGGGAATTGTCTACCAACGACTTAGAAGTAAGTTGGTTGACGGTTCTTAAATATAACTAAGAAAAAAGTAGCGGTAACCAGTCTTTGAGTGAGAGCTTTTTTTCTGGCTGGTTCACATGTGATGTACCATTCTAAGATTAGGAACAACTGCACACTTGGGAAGGGTCCTAAATTTGATTTTTTTTTTTTTTTTTACCATTGAGGGCAGTATATTATTGCGTATAAAATCCATGGTTTGTTTACCCCTTCAGGTCATTAATGACTGCCAGTGTGTACCTAAGATGCATCCCTGCGAGAGAATGCCCTTCAACAAGGTCTTCCACCACAACACGCCGTACGAGACGACCATAGACGTGGGGGAGTGTCGGGGAAGATGCTTCAACGGCCGCGGTAAGTTCTTATGTCGTATAATTAAGTCTTATGGACGAGGGATGCCGTCACTCCATCCCATTTCCAGTTCGCCCCATGTTACTTTATACTATATTCCACTTCGTCCTGTTAAGACCATTGCAGCCCTAATGTAGGCCTAATTTTTGATCTTGTCTTATTTTGCAGACTCCGATGTTGAGTGCCGAGCCACGAAGAACAAAACGGAAACAGTCCTTGGTCCAAACGGTACGTTAAAATAACGACATGTATGAGCGAAGTGAAGTAGGACTATTTCCAGGAAGCGGCACAGAGTGCAAGGTGTTAAATGCCTTTGATTGAGAAGTGCCTTTGATTTCTTATTACCATTCACAATAGGGCTATCTAAATCCGTATTAATTATGTGCTAAAAGGGAAGCCATCAAATTACGCATTTCGCGAGTTTAAACCATTGTCTTGTGTAATCATGAGAAGACGGCTGGTCGCAATACTTGAAGTTCCATAACTTTTTAAAATATATTTTGGGTCCTCAGGTCACGAGTGTGTCGACGTCATCACCGGATGTTCCTGCGCTGGGGGCTGTTTCAGGGCAAGTCACATGGTGGCGTTCTACATCCGGAAATTCAACGAAACAACTGATGAATATTACGATGCTGTACAGGTAAGACTACACTGCTTTTAAGTAAAAGGTCAATGTAATAGTATCACCTTGCCATTTCCTGGCACATGAGGGCGCTCTTACTGTGACGTCATTTTAGACACGATAGACACCCATTTTAATGCAGGGATGAAAGGCAACAAATCAAATTTGGGTCGAATTTGAAGGATTTTAGGGGAAAACTGATCAATCAACCCTCATATGAACCATTTCTTTCCTCAGGAACTGGATGTTGGTATATGCCTCGGAAGCTGCACGGAAAGGAAAGGCATCTGTATTCGACGGTAGGTATCATCATGGTTCATCCGTTTTACTTGCAACCTGACTAATTGCGATCCACTTGTTTTCAATTAATTAAAACTCTGATTAACCTGGTGTTTTTTTTCCTCTCACACAGAACAAACTGTGCTGCAGTGTTGCTTCCCAACACGTACTGTTCACCGAAGGAGTACGTTCCACACATGTTCCAGACACCAGAGGGCGAGGATTTGACTGTCCACGTGATCAATGAATGCAAATGCATATAAAACAGCAAGGGAAACCACACGAGTTTTCCCCAAGTCTCGCGAGATTTGAATACATAAGAGTATCTGCCGTGTTTGCAGTTCAGCCAACATAAAACGAAAATGTAAATTAATATTCGTTAGGCCTATTGCTCTTGAACATACAAACCAAATGATTAACCAATAATGTTGTAAAATATGTTTATAAAAAAACTATGTACTTAAAGTTTGTAAGAATATTTCTGAATTACGTTCCTGTTTACGTAATAAGATATGTATAAAAAGATAGTTGGGTTAGACATTACTGTTTACACAATTGTACATGCTAAAAATACTGCATTTAAACATTGTAAATAATGTTATGCCTTTGTTATTGAAAACAGTATTGTGTGTTCATTTTTATGCATGGCGAATTCTTAAGACACTTTAGTAACAATCATCAACGTAAAATAGAAAATAATCGGCCCTTGTTGAAACCCTTGCCTTTTAGGTCAAGTGGTCCAGTTTTGATAAAATTTGAAAGTTATCTTTCTAGGCTCAACCGAATAAGGCTTTCATAAGCTATTTTATGGTCTATAATATCTCAAACTCACCGTCAGTTGCATATTGAGAAGTGAATTAGAGAAATTTGTATTGACCCATTTCAAGGCAGGGGGCTGATGTATTAAAGCTATATAGTTTGAATATTTAGAGTCACTTCATTTGTACATTCTCATTAATGCATTACCAAAATACCAACCTATGGAACTCGGGTGTGAATTTATCGATTATGCTTTAGTGTTCTACTTCATTGATCATAAAACAATAAAGGCAGCATTCACTAACCAAAAGCAGCATCAACGTCACTCGCTGTTCTTTTTTGAGGGGGGGGGGGGGCGAATTGGGGAGGGTCTTATCCTTTGCATTAGTAATATTCATTGGCATGTCGATAGGACGTTAAATTTGTCGTTTTTGAGTGCAACTTTTTGATCCAAATTTGTCCTGAAATGAAACTTTCGATTCACAGAAACTATCATAAAATCTATTCCAGTGGCACGCACGGTAAGTCTGCAAGAGCTGTACTCAATTAGAGACTTGTCGGTGATATGTAAAAAGTTCAAGCCCCTAGACATTAGGGTCGGTAAGCGGCGTTTATTTATATACGGTGATATTTAAAGTGATTTCCTCCAGTGCTTAAGACGGATGAAGACTATAGTTCTTTGCTCCCTCGTATAAGCCCCCCTTCCTTAATGCTACATTAATAGTACTTACTTTGCAAACTTGAACAGGCGCCAGCCGGCTATACTGTCCTTCCATATTGCACCAAATTCAAGGTCGGTGCTCCAGAGTTGTAACATCAAAATGGGGTGACGATCCGGGTCTAGAAAATATTTTAATAAGTACATATAAACAGTTTCATTATCAGTGCCAAATTTTGAATTGTTGAATAATGCATGGGACTCAAACATCAAACAATAAAACTACCAAATCAGCTGAAATACCGAGCCCTTTACTTGACTGTAAGTGAATAATAGTCTCACTCGCTGTGAAATCATGGCACCTGGTCTGCTGTCATTTTCAAGAAAAGTGGATTTTTTGTATCAATTTCCAACGATGGTCGGCCGACTATCGTTGGAAAAATTACCACCCCCAATCATGCCAATTTACAAAATTTAGTTGGACAGGTCCATATTAATTTGTTTGCAATCGGTTACACATCCGTGAACGGGTGCAAGCCAGCTAATCTGGTTCCCTGACCTGGCAATTTCCCGAAGTCTATAAATTGCTCCGTTTCGCCTGGAGTGGGGTCAGGAAACCACTAACAGCAGTTTTTCTTGGTGTCTCCAGCATCTATGAACACAAAACTTTAAACAGGTCGGTGTAACAATATTTGCTGTGAAATACTAGCCTCCCAATCCTACCATTTCTGAAAATTACAGCAAAAGCACATGTTGTATACTACTTTCACATAAGTTGTATTTTCGTCTGTGTGTGTGCATCTTCCAAATCTCAACATGAACGCCGAGGCAGAAATTTCTTTGAAAGGCTATAAAAATCTGACAAGGAAGCCGTCATTCTAATTATATAACCCACCAGCTTACAGCAAATCTGTAAACTGACCAGGGACCGTATTTTTAAATCCGTATCATACCTGTGTTTTGTACGTGCACACCAAACACAATTTAGTCATGTTTACGGTAACACCTGCGATAACGTCACCACGATGAAAGCAGCCTGCCCTGATGACGGCCCCATAAACTTTCCTCACCTCATAAAAATAACCATTTTGTCTTTAAACGACCATTCGTTACAGCCTGACTTTGACGTATTAGATCGCCCGGCCAAAAATAACATTTGTGTAATTGATGAAAGATTAATAAGGTCGCCATAGTTTGTGTCGTTAACAGTTTACGTGGCATGGCGGTGTAGATGCACCACGACCAAAGAAAGTCTCCTTTCTCGATGGAGTGCAGATTTTACAAATTTTCGCTTTCCACTCCTCATCAAAATATTAAACATGATAGCTACACAAAATGAGTAACACTGAGCAAGGGTGTAAAAATCCTATGTTAGATTTTCTGAGTAAAATACCTTCATAGGAAATGGGAAATGTAAGAGAGATTTCCAGAAATTAGAATTTCAGGTTTATTTGAAATTGTCCGAGACTGCGTCAGCTATTCAGTCATACTCTAAAATCATAATGATTAAATCACCAAAACTTGAATAAGCTTAATTTATTCACGAGTCGGCCACATTAAATTGAAAGTTTGGTAAAACCTTCATTTTTGGACCCTTGCGAATAGAAATGAAAGCAATGACATATTACAAATTACAAATTACAAATTAATACCAGTCTGTATCGATGAATAATGTAGAATTTGTGATTAAACATACCCTAATGTTTTTAGCCACATTTAAAAAAAAACCTGAAAGTGGGGCTTGTAACGCATAAATAGTCTGGCACCATCCCATTCAAGAGCTTACAGTTATAAAATATAGTCAGGGAACATGATCAAAAATGGCTTCCTCATGCATAAGGCCTATACAGGCCAGAGAAAACACCGAACACAATTATCATCTTTCAGGGAGAAGTGGTTTCAAAAAAATCCAACTTTATTCCGCTCAAATTCCTCGTGCAAACAAACCAACATTGATCACTCCGCGGACTTGAGCCGATGGCCAACAGATGCCTGCAAAACCTCCTTGACAAAACAAGATCTGCAGCGCTGGATTCGTACCCCTTTGGCCAATTCTACACACTAATTAGCACGTTCTTGATTAATACGTCTTCTGTATAAAGAGCACCCGGCACGGTGAAAAGCTTCAATTTGGATTCCTTCTCATGAACTGTTTTTTTTCTTTCTTACGAATTCATGATGGAACCGAGCTTTTGAAGATGTGCTTAGAACAATAATGGGGGACAATAGTTCAGCGAATCCAGAACGTGACACTAACGGAGCACGTTTGGCTTGCTACCAGGAATTGAAAGTCGTATGGTGTGCCGATTCCGTCATGGTATGACCCCACCATATTCATATTTAAGAGGTGACTGAATTTTATTTAAATAACTACATGTATATATATATTTTTTTTTTTACAAATTTCTGCTTACCAAGGTTGTGTCACGAACAATAAAAAAGGTTGATCCTTGGAAAAATGCAGAAAGTATGTGAAGTTGATTAAACAACATATAAACATAATCATAATGAGATGACATTAACCGATTAATATTGTGAGGAAAAAATAATAGCTCCTATAATCTATTTTTTCTTTAACAGATGACAATCGATGTAGAAAGTAAGAAACAATCGGCTAAAGATTTCCAAGAAATAATTTATGACATCCAATTGATAAACTATATATTTTAATACCCAGGTACAACACGGATAATCATTATGTAGGTTAGAAAACGAGCTCTGTATATTTTTTTATCACGAGGCGCGCCATACCATCCCACCATGATTGACCACACACCTGTGCCATTACGTGGAGTGTTTACGCCAGGAGGTAACAATGCAGATTAGGGCTTATTCCGAACCATTAAGCACCCTCAAAGGACCTGGTGGATTCCACTGCCTTGTTCGGCATTGCTGGGAAAACAAAACAAAATTCCAAATGCTTGGCACTCGAGCGCAGCGCCGCGCGATCACACGTAATCAAAGATTTTGTCGTCAATGTTTTTCCGTTCTTTCTTTTCATTCTCCGCTGGGATTCTTTTCTTTTATTCCCAATTTCGCTGGCAAGTAACAAGTTCGCCAGTTTTCAGCTGGCCTGCATGAGCCGACGGCTGTTTCGTGATGTGAGGATGCAGGCCAGCAAATAGGCCATGCACTGCGCACTGTCCGGTTTTTCTCAGAGTTTGTCAGTGTGGCGCTTACATTTTCCAGGGTTAGTAAAAGTGAGCGATCCCAGCTTGCTTTGAACATGACATGCGCGTATGCGGGCGTACCTCTGAAAAATAAAAAAGAGATTTAACCAAAGACCAAAGTAGAAAATATTCTACGCAACTATTAACAAAACTAAATGATTGACAAATAGGCCTAAAATACATGTACCGACAGCTGCACAAAAATATCTCACTCCCCTTCTAAATGTTCGATGGCGAGGGCGTAAATTGTGTAATTTTTGGGCAAAGGCAGACCACGGGTGAAATTTATGCAAGGTGTGGCCGCAAATTCAAAATGTCCGCAGAAAAGAAAATGTCTACAAAAAATAGGCCTTGTCATAATGATAAGATGGGAGAAAAGAAAACTGACTTCATCTTCAAAGAATTTTTCTTGAAAACAATAGTAACCGTTTCAGCTCGGACTGAAATTGAAAGGTGAGAGAATACGTATAATTTGTACAAAAACTGAACCATTGGCATGACGCGGACATGGTCAACCACTTTGGCCCTCCTTATTCAATTATTCATGAAACAGCCGTTGTTTTTACGACAGACAATAGAGGGTCCATCTCGGCGCCAGTCTGGCGGGCACACCTGCGCGGCTTTAAATCAAGAGATCGCTCCACCCCCCTCTCAATCAAACGGCCTCCGCATAGTCAAGGCACGTACCGGGCGTCGTGGTGGGCCGACAATGCACCGTTTGGGAAGCTGTTTTGAACCCCAAGGACCCGCCAAGTGGTATAAATTACCTTTAACCGGTACTAATTCCCTCTTCAAGTGATAGGTTGGAATTCGTTTTTAGATGGACGGAGAAGATGGGGCATATCTTGATGCATCCTAGCAACACAATGAAGCAGAGGAGCAATAACAAAAACCTGCGTGAGAAATCGAGTCTCTTTTTTCATGGCCGACAGCAAAGCCTTACCAACAATATTATTGTAGGCATATGCTTTTACACTTTTTTGAACTATTGGTTTCAATCATCACCAGCAAAATTGCATTAATTAAGTATCGCACCCAGAAACAAACAACTCCAAGCAGCTTTGAAAGTGATGCCCTCCTAAACGTGGGTGGCAGTCGCGAAGACTCTCAAGACATTTTCACGATGACAAGCGACGCCAGATGATGTCCCTACATATTCCCATAAGGCACAGATACACCCACACAGCAATATCTTTAGGCTCCATAATCTGCGATTCGCTCTGTTAACTTTAATTGAAATAAAAGTGCTGGGGTCAAATACATGAACCTGCTTACTGCTTAGCACAGTAATTGTGCTTATCACAAATCAGGTCAGCAGCTAAGCTGCCATGCGATGGTTTTTGCTCACGGCTATCAATCGCTGATTTAGCACGTTAATTGTTTCGCTTTTTTCGATTTTGTTAAGCAAACCAAAGTTAGGTAAACAAAACTGGATAAAATAATAAACAAAAACAATGCTTGGCATATATTAGTGCTATTGGAGGATCGGTACAATATTTTTGTTTGAACGTTCTTTGGTAATACTTCACTGAAAAGCCTTCAGAGAAAGTCTGGAATAATCAACGCATCTTGTTTGTGAGGAGCTTGATATTTCCCAAATTAAATTAGAAGCCAGGAAATAGTTGATGTTCCCAATGTCCGGGGTTCCACGTGCGGACTATAGTGTTCCTTTCTTTACTAGTTCACTTGCCCCAAGCAGATTTCTGCTAAAAACCTCTTCGATAAGACAAATCTTCTTAGTCAGGCCGCGGGCTCCGGCAAGTCGCACGTGCGAATAGTCGCAGGAGTAGGTGTGTAAACGGGCGATTAGCAGTGACCATGCATACTTGCCTCGGGTAGGGTGTCGAAGGCAAGGAGGTTTGAGAGGAGATTGTCCAAGAACAACATCGGGTTGTGCGAGATGTGGGAACTCTTCCGAATTAGGAGTTCCGGTACCCCTCGCGATTTTGAGCTAATCTTCAGGGTGTGATTTTCTTGGCCGTTTGCCGAAAATATTACCCCAACCTGATCCACAAAAGACTCACCCTATGGTAGTACGTATCCAGGATTTAGGTTCTATAGGAGAATCAAAACTATGCTTTCGGTATTATTTTGAAAACTGACGTATAACTTTGCTTGGCATTATGAGGAAGAGTACGTCATGTTTCTCTGGTAAGACCAGACATGTGCCTTTTTCAGATTACATTTCAAATCGGTTAAACGGTTAGGGTTTGATTTTCACCCAGGCCAGCAATTCCAATTTTTTTTCCATTCTCATGTTGACGGTCAGAACATACAGTCCAAAACGTCGAGTTCACAACTCTGGTTCTTCTACAAAAAGTGACAATGTTAGTTGGTAACTTCACATTATTCGAAAACCTTTCTCAAGTTCATCCTGCAAGGTTTAAGAAAAGATGACTCTTTAGGTTCGAGAAGGATTAGAGACGGCCAACTTCACTTGCGTGTCTGAATTCCGTGACAAGTTAATGTAAATGGTGAACACTCAAGGCCGACTAGCGGCTTTTGGCCAGTGTTCTATCAGCTCTTTCAGTGGCCGATGTGTCCAAATTACGGTTCGGAAGTCTTTGAAATTCCCAAACAACCTCAGTTAACCTCTACTCCAGGGGATGGCAGGAGCAATGAGATATCTAGCAAATCATTTTGCTCCAGATATCTTGCCCAGCTGTCTCCCAGAATCGGAAGCAATACGTCAATTCAGATCTTGACACCATTAAAAACAACATGCAAGGAAAACGGATGTCTTGTGGGGAACTCGATGTCTGCAAAACCTATTAACCTTTCAGTTAACGGCGAGTTGGGGCATTTACCAATAATTCTGTTTCCGATTTGCGGACCTGTAATGTGTTATACCGCAGTCACGCTTGCGGATGACATTTTGGAGTAAAAAAAAAAGGCTTGAAACTAAAAATAACAGTCAATCTTAGATATTTAGTGAAGCAGCCTAAAACCCATTCAAATCAATTTGAGTAACACCTGCAATGCTATCACATTGGAACGAACATTGGCTAAGAGGAAAACACGATATTCGTCATTGCAAAGCTGCGTGTTGACTTTGGTGACACTTAAATACACGGTGGGCCTGTCATGGAAAATAATAATAATTGTTACTGTTACGGAAAATGGTACTTTAAGGAGACATACCCATAGGGGTGTGCACAACATTTTTTTCCAACTTTAATGACCCCTAACCCCCATTTTTCCCTACCCCAACATATTTTGGTATATCTATGTGTTGGATGACGAGCAATTGATCTAGCCTATTTGCGACAATAAAAAAAAACTGACCTCTAAATGTAGGAGTTGTGAGATTAAATGTTTCCCAAATGAACGGTGTCTCCCAAAGGTATAACCAATGACGAAAAAATGGCTCCTTAGGGTACATTAACAGGAATTACAGATAGCGTTGCAGCTGTTCAAAGAAGAACGGGGAAATATACACAAATAACACACTACTGTAGGCTAACATTTTTGATAATGTTCCCAAAAACCCTCGTGCCGTAACATTATGATATTGTCGCACCAACCGGTGATATCTACCTGGACCAAGCTTCTCAGCAGAAAGAATTACTTTGCAGGGAACCAGCCACAATTAAGCAATATACTTAGTCATAAGGTGACATTTGGCTGGTAGCCTGTCATTGCTAAGCAAAATGGTGCTTAGCTTAGCAGCGCAAAAAAAATGACACCATATTTTATCACAATATGTCTGGTTAAATAATTACTTGCACAATTTGCTAAATTAATTGCTAACTACTTGCCAAAAGCAAGGACCGGAGACTAAGAAACCAAATTCATCGATTAAAATTCTTATAATACAGCTTAAGGATCCACCTTGATAGAGGACAAAGTTTTCTGAGCAGAGGAATGTGACCTTGAGTGACCTCAAGCTTGCCAGAACCGTAAACCAGACATAAAAACAAATTTGACCAGAAATAAAAAATGCGATAAAGTACTTCCATGGGTTGCGATCGATCGTTTCCCCATCTGCTACACCAGACAACATGGGCCAACGCGTTAACGATGCGGCGTTGGTGGGCGACAAAACCTCGTCTGATTTCCCCATTAACCTTTTATCGTCGTGGGATTAAAACCAACTTTTAAATTATTGTTAGGGTAGACACTGGTTGCGGCATCGCGGTGGGTGTTTTTTTTTTTTGACAAAGTTTGATTTATGCTCGTACCACTGAGGAAAGCTTCGTGTCATTGCGAGGCAACTGTTTGTAAACTCCACAACTTGGAGTACCATTTTTGCTTCAATTTGATGAGATGTTGCTTTGGGAGAAACGACTATTTTTGATGATTATTTTCGAGCAGTTTGCGAGTTCACCATGTGCAGTAACAAACTTCTTGTAGAGAAGTTTTGTCCTGAAAATTAAGTCGACGTTTCGGTTAGTAAGCTCTGACCATCATCAGGAAGGAGCAATGGGGTTTGAACTTTGCCCTAAACATTTTATCACTAGACTTGCAGACGATATTATTATCTTGGACATGAAACATGACTCAGAAGGAACAAGAAAATCATTTCAAAAAACGAAGGAGATTCGAATTAAGTCTTTGCAAGAATTAACGTCAAGTTGTATTGAGGCAGACATTGGCCAGTCCTGTGCTCGATTTAACGAGCCTAGCTTTTGACAGCCGCCGAGTATCGAACGTACTGTCTAGAGAGCGGGGTTAGATATGGTCCAGGCTAGGGTCTATGAGTCAATAAAGACCGCGCCGGCGCCACGCAGTCTAGGCACAAAGGTACGCGCTGCCCTTTCAATTTGAACCCCGGGAAAGAAAAAAAATTGTGAGGGACTACCCTACACACCAACCCCGCAGGATCTCTTGCCGTGTTCAGTTAGCTCAGGGCCCGGTGATACCACACCTGCAACCCCGGTCCCTATTCACCTGCCAAAATCCAGCCCCAGTGAGAACCCCCGCTAATTGGCACTCTAAACTCAATCACAATATTAATTGTGCCCTATTCGGGGGAGGTGCGAATCTGACACCTTTGGCGGATTATACGGAAAGGGGACTTTTCTCTTTTCTTTTCTTTTTCCGAGTATACAGCCGGAGTCAAAGGGGGATTGGCCAGCGGAGAAGCAGGTATCATTGGCTGGTTTGTGTTTCGCCTGAGCTGTTACCAGCCACCTGCAGTACGTCAATCAACGCGAGTTGACAAGGGGAGACGGGAACGTGGCACTGCACAATGTGTCCAACCGTATAGCGTGGAGGGTCGAAACCGCACAAGGAATCCCGGGCAGCCTGTCGATAATATACGAGTTAAGAGAAAAGAGAAGTTCATAACGTCGTTTGGGATCAGACAGAGCGAGTCGGTTTGTCTAGCTACCTGTGCACGCGTGTATGTGGAGTTGAAGAGGCTTCTATGGCTGGGCGTTAACAACTGCAGTTACATCTCGGAGGAAAGTCTACGGAAAACTATATACCCAGTCACTTACTCTCGACCTTTGTCATTTAAGTTAAATTGCTAATTTAATTTGATAACGATTTTACTTGATATCATTTTTGAGGAGCTGCCATTCTACAAGGTTCCGCGACAGAATACGACGCAAGATGCTACTAAGTCGTCAGTCCTGCATCCTCCTAGTGTTGACTGTGTGCTGCCTCATGGTGATGCTCCCACATGCGTCATCCAGGGCCGTGGCACGAGTAGACGAGAATCTGAGCGGGACGCACCCGTCGAGTAGCCGGGGCCGTGACCACCCATCCCCGGCATCCAACCTCGGCGAGGGCACGGTCCATCACCAGTCCCAAAGTGGCGTCGATGAGGAGTCCAACGTCATCATGACGCAGCAGAAGGAGCAAGTGCTGGGCGAGCTCTTCCGTGCCATCGGCTTGGAGAATAATACCTTGGAGGAGCCGGCGCGTCGGCCTCAGCCACCTCCCTTCATGTTGGACCTTTACAGCTCAATCGCCGACCCCAGCTCCGGGAAAATGAAGATGCCGAGGCCCTTTAATGCTAATACCGTCCGGTCGTTACCGGACAAAGGTGGGTGACCATTTCCCCTTTATAACATTTCAATTTTTATTTTACAAGTAATGATTTTGTGAATAATGAAGACTGGTAATGCTCACAGCATTGAACAGTTTTATATGAGAATGTTTCATGGGTATGATGTAGCTTGGAGTAAGTGTTCGAGAAAATAATGTCCCCACATCTTGTAAAATTTTGTTTTTTTCCTGCAAATAATAAAGACTGCATAAAGCCTCGAAAAACCAGTGACTTTGTTTCAACATGGTGTGGTTGAACTTACGGTTAAAGGGAGGTGTAATTCTGCGAAGAACTAAAGGTACTGGCTCGACGTTTCGGACAGTATGTTCTGACCGTCGTCAGGAAACATTTTAATTCTAAAAGAACTACAAGTGCGCTGGTATCCCAAAGCATTAGCAGATTAGGTGTGTCCTATACGACTGTTTTGATTACTGCAAGTCTTTAACTTTGTCCTGCTTGCCCTCGCAGAACACCTGTGCCGTTGAAACCTGCTATGACGAAAGCCACGAACGTCATAAGGCATTTCGTTGTTTGAAACTCTTTGGTACAAAGGTGTTCATTTCAACGGCATTGTATTACAGTCCTCCTACATTTTGTAACTTTTTGTGAAGCTGCAAAGGCCAATTAAATTAATCAAAATTCAAGGTGCTAGTCCGTGTTGACACAAAATAACTTTGCCTCGAGGCCTGAAGCAGTCTCATCCATGCGTGGTTCCAAAATTTGCCAGATTGCTCAGCCGTGACCGCCCCTGCTTCGCGCCCGAGATAAAAACACCCCATTCATCCAAGTTCCTGTCCCCATTGTCTGCGTTTATTGGTTATTTTTGTCCCCTTTTCGCCTGAATAATTACACTAATAAAGTAGGCCTGGTGAGCCACACACTCCTCTTTGTCTGAGTTTTGGACTGACTTGCATCGCACGGCTGGGCTTTTCACACCTTTTCCTGTTTTTCTGTCTAATTTTTTTTCATCTCCTAGCGCGTATACGCGTGCTCACGTTGCCGTGACGGAGGTTACAAGATGTAAATTAATAACAGAATAAAAACGCTGTGGGGGCCAACAGTGATGCGAGAAAATCGTTCTATTCAACTTGTCAATAACATTTCCAGTGGAAACGTACCAGTAAATGAACCTTTGTTCAGTGTACATCATTGCATGAGATACTGTAGCTTGAGAAGTAACAAATATGCACAGTTATTTGGTAATCCCTACAAGCATGGCTCACACTGCACAGTAATCAAATATAAATCACACACTTGCGTAAACCCGTGAAACCGAAAAGCCGTAAAATATGGAATTCCGAGCACCGATTTTTTTTTGCCAAACCATGCAATCTTATACCTTTCTTGTGCCAGCCTCCACCGGTGTGCCAATTAAACTCGCCAGGTGGAGGTAATGAAGGCAAGGGGCTGAGAGCTCCCCCGCTCCCCGGCAAGTACCGGCGATTACCACCCTCGTGATTTACGACTTGTGGCCGAAAATGACAAGTTATTATTTTGTTAGCGAACACCTGGAGTAAATTTGCTCCCATTACTGCCGCGCCGTGACACCTGAAATATAGAAGTGCGACCATTTCTGCTTGTTTTTAGAGAGATTGCTGGATATAAATTTTCGTATTTAGAATTTAGATGAGTTTGCGGGGGAAAAATTACAAACACGTGGAAATGGCAACACTGACGAGTTAACATAATCACGGTCAGGTAAGGAATGCTGAAGAAAAGTTCTCACTATTCTCCGCATTTCATAGCACATCTTCCATGCGACGAACCACAATTTTGCATTTTGATATGCCATGCCTGTTTTCATACCCAATCTCTTAACCTTTTCATAACAATAGTTGCTGATAAAGAAGTTACAGTGGCCACTAGCGGGCTTCCTCTGGATAATGGATTATCTTTATTTTCTTGGAAGAGCCTGTTTTTTCCCTGTTCCTTACGCACGCGCAGTTTACAGATCACGTCACTGAATTGTCGTCATAGTGGGATCATGGTTCATATAGTACAGTTTGAAGGAAAGGCTTAATTACTGAGTTGGGGAATTAGAAATTCCAGCCCGATTGAGCTAAACCGAGACCTTAAATGTGCTATCTTATAACTAGGACTAGTAGGATAAATATTTTCTCCAGAATGGTGTGGCTTTTAAAACTATAAATATCATTCTACGAAAAAAAATACGATGTATGGTGGTTAACGTCATCCTATGCCAACACAATGTTAGGATTCTTGGCGGTGTCATTTCCGAAATGATTTTTTTTTAATTGATGATGATTCGCGAACAAGAAAAAAAGGGATACACACTGAGCAACCGCACTAAACAAAATCGCTTAACACTGTAAAGTTCCCAGAGACCCATTCAGCATTTTGTTGCCACGACCAAGCAAAATACCCACTTAAAAAAATTCCGGTTACCCAGCGTAAAAGCATCCCCGCTGTTGTGGGGTCAAACTTGCTGGAAGTGCATACCTGGCGTTGCCGATGCGAGACCGTGTGTTCGGCAAGGTCGGCTGTACTTTTTCGCGGTGCGCAAGCAGCTCGCATACCTGCGGTTCCCCTAGTCTCTGGGCAGCCAATTGCTATTTTTACAAATCAGGAATATTAATAACTTGGGTATGGTTTTGATTGACGATGTGCGCTGTTGGAGCCTGATGAGTTGGGTTTTTTCTGTCTTTGACGGCTGGCCAAAGCCGAATCGAGGTACCCCGGCAACCGTCCAGTATGGACGATGGGGACTGCGGACTGTGGTTTGAAGATCCCAGTCTTTAATTCTAAGAGTTTGCATCTCAGTTCAGTCTTGAAAGAATTGTAGAAGAGTGTACCAAAGTATTGCACGGTGACAGATAGAGTGTGGCGTCCAACTCAGCCAATGAGGATGGCAGCGTTTGGCGGCAGCAGCGTACTCAGAGCCTCAAACCTTAATTATACAGAAAGGACACAGACTAAGACTGTGTAACTCGGCGTATACATCAAAAATGTGTTGGTATGCACCTCTCAGTGGTTCTCAAATAAATGAATCAACCAGCTTATTGTGCAGCCAACTAAGAACTGTAATTTTTGTAGACGTTGTTTTGTTTCACGTTGGGTTTCGCTGTATTAACTTAGGGCCTACTGTAGTCAATTAGATCGCGATTCCCATCACTAAAGGTTCGCGATGACGTGTGTAGTTTGGCACGCCTGACGTTGTGCTATGCGCGTTGCCGAGGCTCGTCATTCAGTGAAATCATCGCTCACCATCACTCGCCTGGGCTAATTTAAAAACGACTAGTGTTGTACAATCTCATTCACGGTGCACTGGGGAGGAGGGCAGGTGAGGTCTTTCAAACAAAGACACCCGCAAGTCAAGATGGCCATGTCTGTCTGCAGTGCCATAGATCTTGGAATTTGGAAGTCTTGAAGGGGGACGATGATGAATTGAAGTTCATCGGCCTCATGCGAAGAGCAAACCTTTCGGGTCTTTACATTACAATAAAGTGACTGGAATAATTTGAATCGAAGTGGGGGAAGGAGCTGCATCGCTGTGTTAGCAATCATACATGATGTTCCAGAACCTGAATATTTAAACGTTCATTCGACTCGTCCTGCTGATCCCAAATAGATTGGTCACGCCCTCCAAATTCCTTAACTTTAGATGTCTAGGAGGTTTCCAAACTTGGGCACTTTATTTTATGCACATGAAATACATTTTTTTTATTTCGGAGATGTACGTGTTGATGAAGCCAAGTGGAAATAAAGCCAGGGTTTCGAAAATGGTAGAATCATTTCGAGAGTCCCCCCCCCCCCTCTTACAAAAGGGCTCAATGCCCACTTGTCGTATGGAACAATCACAATACTCCGAACTCAACTTTCCATCATTGTGTGCCCAAGCGTCACCCGTGTATTTTTTTGGAGGCAGCGTGCCACAGGTGCGCGCGTGTTTGTTGACACTAGTTGTCGTCTTACACACGATTATCACTCATATTCGTTACATTGACAGCGGGGGTGGTAAGGGTTATCCATACACACATTGATACCCCAGGGCAATACCTGTGCCATCACCCCTGCTACTCTTTTGTCACCCCACCCCGTTTCGGAGGTGAAACTACCTCACCTTTTCTTGAGTGTTTGGGTGCAGGTGCTTGGGACCAAAGGTTGTCATAAAAAAAAATGAGCATCCCATCTCAGTACAGAATCAGATGAACTTAATTGACAAAGGAAGATTTTAGCAACTTCGGGATACAAGCAAGGTACCGGAAATCTGATAAACCGAAATTCACACCGCCCGGTCAAAATCAAAACGTTACCATAATCAAACTATTATTTTCCAGAGGTGAAACCAAGTATCACAAATAAATTCACGAACGGGTCAAATAGGAGTCAAATCACAAGCCATGATTACAAGTCAGTCACAGATAGCCTCATTCATGTCACAAGAACAAGGGGATGAATAATAACAAAGGGATGTCTTTGCACAGTCCGTTTTAAGAAGTTGGCACTTGACTTGACACTGGGTGACATGTGATTGACATGTGATTGACATGTGATTGACATATGACTGCCTTGTGATGGCTTGAAAACATCTCTGATAGCTTCGGATTACCACTGTATACTTTAGGCCGGAAAAAAAAATATTCGGTCTCTGGTCAGACCAAAATTCCGGAATTGACGCGGCGACGCGGCTTTTTTTTTTCTTCAAGCTTGGATTGTACAGACAAGGTGGGGTACTATTTTGGGGTTTTTTGGTGTCCTCGTGTACATTGGTGTCCTCCATAATTTGCCTTGGTGCTCTCGATCATTTGCCTTGGTGCAATTTCCCATTCCTTGGTGCTCTTTTGTAAAAAAAAAATTGAGGAGGTGCGGCAATAGAGGGCGCTGTTGGAGCTACCGCGGAACATTTTGGAAAAAAAAATTGACGCGCATGATTAAAATCGACGCGCGCGCTGACCAGAGACCGACTTATTTTTTTTTGGCCTCACACCCTGTACTTTTTAGAGTGAGCTCTTAAAGATGTATTGAAACAGGGCATC